GCAGGTATTCAGCTCCTCCTGGAATCTGGTCCTTACTCAGTTAGGCAGTAAATTTTTGCACRTATGTTTTCCTTTCTTCCTCGTTTTACTACTATGAGGAGCATCTGGCCCCTAGAAAGGAGCAGTGGGACTGTACCATTGCACTGGGGTCGGGAAAGAGGTTAACTAGCTGCTTTGTTCAATAGCTGCAGAAACACTTCCTCCCCTTTATGGTAACGGAATATTCCCCCCAAAACCTCCTCCTCCTCCTCCTCCTCCTTGTGGAATGAAAGCCAAGCATGAGCGAACTGCTACGCTGAATGGGGAAGTCTGGGAAAAGTTCCTGTGCACACGTGCACACACAACATCCAAACCCTCTTTAAAACCTCACCTGGTGAAAGGAGAGCTGACAGTCAATCTTTTGAGAGGGATTAATTTTATGTCAGCATTTAAACGTTCTTTCTTCAGTGTTGCAGCATTTTGCAGTGCCGCAGAATTTGTATCTTAAAAAAGAAAAATCCAGTTTCTGAAATCTGCCTCTGCTCGGCAAATTATCACACCCTACCAGAAAAATTCAGCCCTCTCAATAAGTAAACACTCAGAGCTGACATGACAGAGGCAGAGAAGCAAAAGCCCTCAATCCGAAACGGATGGGTCAGACTCTTAGGACAATCTTAAATGTAATAAAACCAACATATCAGTGTGGCTTGCATGATATAGAGCTGTGATCTCCAAGGAGGGGTGAATGCACCCCAAGGGGGTGTGCAAGGCAATCCATTGGGGTGCAGGAGGAAAATATTAGAACTTCAGCAGTATGTAATTTATAAATAGGTAAATATATGTAGAATGGGGCTGTATGCTAAAGCCTTTTACCAAGAGGGCTACATGATCGAGAAAGTTTGGAGACGCTGATAAAGACAATTTTGTGCTCCCAAATACAGAGACAGACATTCATTTTGCAGACATGATTCTACACATGAGTTTCAAATGTCCAGACACACAAACAGATCTCGTAATATTTAAAGTTGCAGTAATTAAAACAATGGTCAGAGCAGCAAAGCATAATTCATTTCTCAAACACTCTCCTCACTGTGTGAAACGTGTTAGGTCTTGAAGAGAAAAGAATTGGAATGTGCAGGGCAGACCACACAAACCAAAGAGAAGAAAACCACCCATGAGAGAATAGCTGAGGAGCATAAAAGGGAGGGGTGAGGCTAAGACAAGGGGAATAGAGTTTCAAAGAAAAAAGCAGAGAAAAAGGAGGGTAAGAGTGAGAGAGGTGGGAGACAGAGGTAGAGAAAGCAAGATACACATAGAGCAACGATAAAAGACAGCCAGGGAAAGAAAGGGATGTGAAGAAGAAAGGGAGGAGCTGGGAACAGCAAATAGAATAGCAGGCAGAAGAAAATAAGAAGGGTACTATTTATACATGAGAGGACATGTTTGACAAGCAGTTTTGAAGCAGAACTATTTAGTGGATAAAATCTTCAAGAAGATTTTTTTTTCAAGGGCAGATTTATCACTGCAAGTGTCTGAAATAGCACATTTTCCTTCAGAGATTTCTGAAAAATAATCATACAGATCAGTAAACTAAAACCTTATAATATCCTTCTGGATACCTTATATCCAAAGCCTTGTTGCTTTGTTTGTTGATGTGTTTGGTGAAGTACAAAGGTATTTTTTTCCCTAAGAAAGCCTGGCATAGAAACAGGGGAAGCTTACAGAAAATTCATAAGAGATAACTGAAGATGTAATTTGGGAAAGCACAGAAGTGCAAAAGGACTGAGGGGCAGCTCAAGATGGRGTGTGAAAAACCAGACCCTGCACCTTCACAGTCTCCACGCTGGCTTGTGGCAACCATTAGTACATAGTCATGCCTTTTAATTTTTTTAAATGTTTATCACAAATAATCTAATTTTCTACAAGCAAGAAGGCTTCTGGGTCTYATTTCTCCCTTGAAGTAAGCAGTGTGTTTATGCTTACAGACCAGACTTGTTCTCTGCTTTGTTTCTTCCTTGCCATGATTCACTTCTGCTTAGAGCTTTGCTTCATGAGCTTTAAAGGAAATAAATGCCAGARAGGAGAAAAATCCTAATCTACATTAGCTGGCTATTCACCCACCTGTATTTTTAATTATTATTTTCATTAAGTATGTGTATCAGTTGTTATGAAAATTATCTTCCTTGACTATTATATCACCCAATCTTTATGGTGTGACAYTGTATTCATTTTGTTAATATATATTAGTTCACATTATATACTGTATTGTCACAAAGTTGTAAAACTTTACTGTAGTATTGTCCCTGCTTATGTAAAAGAAAATAAAAGATGACCTAGTCCTGTAAATATGGACTTTGACAACCAAGATAACACCAGCATCCTAGACCACATCTTCCCAGCATCTTCTGGCATCACAGCAAGTAATTATAGCAAGACTGACTCCAGGGTTGTCTGGATCAACAGATAAGCAGTAAGAATTCTGCAAAAATGCAGGTGCTTTGCAGAGATTTACTKTTATTAATAATCAGTAGTGTGGGTGTAAGTGATTAGTCAAATCATGTAGTACCTGAATGTTTGAAGGGTATAAGAATAGTGTGCAAAACCACATTTGGGTTGCCCCAATTTGGCTGTCCCACATCRCGCACGTGAGTTAACATTTGCCCATTGTAATTCTATGCTTTGCATCCCAACCTCTCTCCTCAGCTGGCAAGAGCCASTTGCAAATTTTCATGATGGTCTCAAAGGGGAAGAAACAGCCAGACTTGTGCCAGTTCACTGGAGCTACAGTCTAAACATCTGTTTATCTACCCATTTTCCAGCATCCTACCATCACCCAGGCTGAGTGCCAGTGTTCATCATGCTAACACCCAGAGGGGAAAAACAGTCATTTATGCTGTGGACCAGCATTTGGGGAACTCTAAAAAGCAAAGTGGCTGCCTGGGAATCCATGACTGGTTTTACAGTAAGCTGAGTTCCATGCTGGGACTGGACACTATTTAGTCAATTCTGAGCAGAGCTGCAATCCAGCTGGGCAA